CGGCGGCAGCGGCGGCGGCGGCGGCGGCAGCAGCGGCCGCGGTGCCCCGGTTGCGGCCGCCGCACGACAACCGCACCATGGTGGAGATCATCGCTGACCACCCGGCCGAGCTCGTCCGCACCGACAGCCCCAACTTCCTGTGCTCCGTGCTGCCCTCGCACTGGCGCTGCAACAAGACCCTGCCCGTGGCCTTCAAGGTAAGCAGCTGCGGCCGCCCCCCGCCCCCGGCTGGGCGCCGCGGGACCTGCCCGCCGGCGTCTCTCTGCCCGCGGGGGCCGGCGCCCGGACGGCCTCCAAGGCCTCCTACCTTGGTGGCTCTGACCCGAGGGACCCCTGGCTGGCCCTCTTCCTCCAGATCCCCCGGCGGGCTCAGGGCGCAGTGACCCTCCGCAGATGCTTCCCTCTCCCACCTGTGCCCACAGCCACCACCGCAGCCCTTGTCCCCTTCATCCGTTCATCACCCCTCCAGCCTCCCGGCCCACGTTCTAACCCACTCCTCTGAGCCGTCTCCCCTCCCCCCAGCAGCCCCCAGGTGCCCACTCCTTGCGCCGCCACCCCGACTTGCTCCACCCCGCCCCCCACTCCCCAGGGGCGAGGATCCCCGGCATTCTCCCCTGGACTCCGGGGCATCCCCTCTCCCCGGGCATCCCGGCGACCCCACACCGCGGGCTGCCCGCGCCCCCCTCGCCTGGATTCCGCGCGCTCCCACCTTCCTCCTTCCTCGCGGAACGCCCCGCCACCCGTCTCGGCGACCCCTTCTCTGACCCGCTTGAGCCTCAGCGGCCCGGCCCCTCCCGGGCTCGGGGGCCACTGTTCGTGGGGCGCCGGCGCCAGGCGTTCGCGCCCGCGGCTGGGCGCCGGGTGCCGGCTGCGGCCCGTGGGCCGCGTTACGCGTGTCCAAGAGGGTCCCGGGCTAACCTAGGGACCCGGGGAGTGTGAGAGGGAGACAGGACGGGGGCGTTTGCGCGGCTTGCAGCCCCGCGCCAGTTCCCGTTACCGGAGGAAGGCGGGGCCGCTGGGGTCGGCGCGCGCCCCGGTCCTGGGCGCCTGACCCTCGAGTGCGGGGCGGCGCGGGCCAGTGGAGGGGGCGGGGGCTCGGGCCGCCCGGTTCAGCCCGGACCAGCTCCCCGCTGCGCCCCGCCTGGGAGGGATGAGGAAACCTGTGAAATGCCTTCAGTTCGCCCGCCTTGAACAGAGGTGAAATGTGCGGATTTGTCTTACGATGACTTTCAGAGGACTGAAATCCCACGGGTCCCTCCTGCTTCTGAAAGGTCGTGGGAGGCTCGGGCCGGTGGCCTGGGCGCGGAGGGAGTGACCCCTGGGGCTTAAGAGCGCCCTCGGCGCGCCCCGCGGCCTCCTCCGCCAGCCCGGCCCGTTAGTTGGAGGGCGGGTGTCGGCGGCGGGATCGCAGGCGGCGGCGCTGCAGGTTGAGGGTGTCAGGTCCCGAGCCTCTCGCAGGAGCCCGAGGGGGCTCCGTAATGCGATCAGGATTTCCCCGGGCAGCCCTCGCCAGGGGGAGACGCGGAGCCCCCGAGGCCGAGCGCGCGGCGGGTTGATGGGGAAACGGGTTCCTGGGCTGTCCTCACTCGCGGGACTGGACGCCGGGGATGGAGGGGGCGATGAGCCAGACAGGGAGGAGAGCGCGCTCCGAAAGGCGCTTCCGGCCTTGTGTAGCCTCTGAACTCGTGAAGGTGGGCCTGGGTCCCCTGGGTTCTGGGGTCTCTGGAGAGCAGGGTGAGCAAGGCCTTGAGGGAGGGGGAAAATGGGGAGGAATCGTGCCAGTTCCTGCATTGGGGATCCTGGGGCGAAACTCCCACGGGCCACCGGCAGTTCCCATTTGTTGATCGGCCCCCTGCCCCCCACGCACCAATTCAGATTCCGTGTGTGGGTGGCGTGGAAAGAGGAGTCCAGGTCAATTAGAGCTGGGTATCTCGCTGGGTCTTATATCAGAAAAGAAATCAGAATGAATTGTTATGGAAAGGGGATGTTGCATTCTGGGGCAAGTTTCATTTTGCAGTTGGCTCAAGAAATGTGTGTGTGTTTTTTTTTAACCGTCCCATTTCTCCTTTTGTAAACTACCCATTTTGTAGGTTATGTTTTCTTCCTTGAAATATGAAAAACTCAGAATATATGTGAATTGTAGAAGTTTGAATTTCCATACAAGAGATATCTTTTACAATGTTCATCGTCCAAGGGCCTAGAATTTTCTATTTAGCCTTATGTGAGAAATTTGTTTCCACCAACCTTCCCCCCCCAAAAAAACCTCAAAACATAAACAAAAAACCTGAGTGAAAACAGCAAATAATGCAAATCAGTAGATATTTTGTCTATACAATGCCACAAGTCAAGATATGTGAAAATATAAGGATAGGTGCCTACATTTTTAAAGATATCCTTTAGATGTTCGATGTTTTACATTCCGTTTGTTCTGCTAAACGTATTTTAGGTATAACTGTCTTAAACTATTCTCTTAGGTTTATGCTGCTGAGTTAATTTTGAGTATTAGTATTTTGAATAGAAAAGATGTTTTTGGCATAAAGAGAATGCAATTTAGTTTGAGCTTTTCTCAGATATTTTGGTTATCTTTAGATTTTCTCACTACCACCATTTTAAAATTAATTTTGAAAATAAATTGCTTTCTTTGCTATTAGTTATACTTGTTAATTACAGAGTAATTTTACTTTCAAACAGTAAACAAAACCGTAGACAACACATGGACATATAAAATTATATATTTTAATTGAAAAAGAGTTAACCTAAAACTTGACTCGCAATGTTTTCCACCTCCATGCCTGTGTTTAACAAAATTCAGATAGCTCATGATAGCTGAGATCCACTCAATATAGAAGTTTTGTCTCTGCTGAAAAAGAGGTGTAGATATTTGGAACATCTAGATTTTGACAACAGTTTTTATTTTCATCTGAACGTTAGTAAAAACAGCCTCTCTTTACCTTACTTTCGAGATAAAAGCCTGAGAGCAATAGACTTTCTTCACTCTTGCAACATAATCAAATACATCTGCAATGAAGAAATAATATGAAGTCTCAGTTTTAAAAGTGATGCTAGCAATTTGGCTATCATATTTAGAGCTATGTGCAAAGTAAATTATAGTGTTATGTGGTAGATAGCGGATAGGTAAATATATTTAAAAACACACACAGAGAACTCAATTGTTGAGAAGTCTGGTATTCAAATCAATACGGTATTTATTGGGCCCGTATTTTATGTCTGTGACACTGAGCTCAGCACTGTAGAGAATCAGAAATGAATTCAATAGACTGTGTTTTGATATGTTAATTTAAAATAGTGCTTCAAAATGATATTGATAACCTATAGTATTAAGACGGAAGTAACCTATTAGTAGAGATCTGGGGTTATACAAAAAAAGATCTTGTTTTGGGGTTACACAAAAGTACTTAATTCGTTTATACTCAACATGGAAAAATGCAAAAACAACTAGTACACTTTAAAATATGTAAAGTTGTTTATTAGCATTATATTTTTAACAAAGTTCTACAGTTTTGAAATGTTCAGTCCTCCCAGGTGTCAAGGAAATGGAAATAAATATTTTTAACATTTCTTTCAGGTGTATCTCACTGAAAGCTTAAAATAGTTAAGGGATACTATTAGAGGATCCCAGGCCTTTTCTGTCCTAGATAATTCTAGTGACAAAAAAGCTGTTTGCAAATTAAGCTCAATAGTTGATGGTCAGGTAGAAGTGGTGGAGGAACATGTCCACCCTGTATCCAGTAGCACCCTTCTAGTTAGGGCTCTGTCAGCATTTCCACCGTGAAGCCTGGTGTTCAGGGCTCATAACTCAGTTGCTTTAAATAGCTTCCTGCTGAAACACTATGCGGAAAGTTTAAGTCCAGATGTATATTTTAAAACTAAAAGTAGTGCAAGACTATTGTGCTGTTTTAAGTTAGAGAACACTGGACTGCATATTTACTAGTATCATATGTTTTTCTGGCAATGTTAAAGAAAGAAAACACATTTTTAGATATGTGATCTATCACTCATAGTTAATTCTATATGTTTAATGAGACCTTTCAGTATTTGTCATAAGTAGGGTTTCAAAATGATGGAGCAATTTCTTTTTGAAAATAATTTTTTCAACATCATTGGCCATTTTTTTCTTCAAAAACAAGTAGGCAACTAATAAATATTTGACACTAGTGAGTTGTATTTTCCTTACATATTTAATGATCAGATTTTATCTCTGTGTCTTTTTGAATGTAATTATACCTACACAAAGGAAAACAGGTTATTAAATCTGTTCAAACCTTATTAAGCCTACTATGAATTGTTATGCAAATTATGTAAATCATAATAGATTTCAAGTTGTCTGAAGGCAGACACATTTTTGTGTTATGTCTTTAAATGCAGTAAAAATTATTTAAAGTTAAAAATTTTAGGATTCAATATATAAAACTTATTAGTAAGGTAATCTAAATGATTTTAAATGGAAAATAAATATATAAAAAATTAAAAAAACTTATATTTGAAAACAGTCATGGGAAGATATCTTTTATTATTTTCTCCCCTTTGGCATTGCTGTTTGTTTTCTTTCAAAATTCCAGAATATCCATTGTTAGATGATTTAAACCAGCTTGATACATGGCACCTAAATTCCTGGCTTAAATTGAAATAATTCCCATCAAATTTGTCTTTGACATGTATTTTAAAAATTACGAAATGATATTTTATATTGTATTGCCTTTTTTCTCTACAATTCAGTTGGATTTTCCTGAATTCTAGGTTAAATTCTAAAAATCAGCTGTAATATTTGTGGAACTTTTTGATAGTTTATTTAAAGTTATCTTTAAATAATTACTATAGGAATAAAACTTTTCCTCTTGCAATTAGTTCCTTACCTCTCTTTTTATTCCAAAGAAGGATTTGATCAGATTCTATCTTGAAAAATAATTATATTTCAATTTTGCGGCAAGTACAATGTGCCAAATGATATTGGTCCGTAGCAGTAATTGATTAGTTAAGACTAGACTTCTGTCCATGGATATGTCATAGGCAATTTTAATTTTCATATAATAAGACCACAGAAACAATTTTCAGGGTCTGAGTTAATTCTCCGTTGCTCCTCTTTCAGAGTAATTCACAGATCTAATCATAAGGAGTCTCAAACAAAATTTCAATAGCGTTTCTAGAGTTAAATAGCTTTTTACTTTATTTTGAAAAAGCTACGTATCATGTGATTTAAATGCTGGTTATAGTGAGGTGCGCTAAATAAAGGAACTTGTTTCTCTATTCTGAAATGTTAGGACACAAAATGACTTCCCTCTTTCCCATGAAGTTTCTTGAATTTGTAAATTTTGTATTTTAAAAACACCTAGAAAACTAATTGTTAAGATTTCATCACAAATTATTCTTTGCAGGACAGAACTTTTGTATTGGGTAGTGTGGAAACAACTTTTATTGCGTGCTTACTCCTAACTAGTTAAAGAGCAATTTTTGACTGCTCTCTACCCCTTAAAATGTTTTCCATTGCTTGGGTTTGGTACAGATGAAATGTGTAAAAATTTCTTGATTCTTTTGGTTTTCTTTTAGATAAACACAGTTGAGAATCTCCAAGGGAAACTTTTTAGCTTCAGAGATCTAGTTTTGTTTAAAACCCTCAAACATATAATTACACTTCTGATTGATATAAAATCAAATACAGTACTCCCTCCCCTCTTTTTTTCCTCAGAAAAACATTAGGAATCTGATTTGGTAGCAGAAAAAACAATATATTTAGCCATTAAAATAGAATTCAGCCATAACAGGAAAAGTTGTCACTATATCGTGTTAGTTAGCATGTTTTTTTCAGGCCAAGTTCAAAACCTCATAGAAGACTTGCACAATTTGTGAGTACCTATTTGTTTTGTTATTAAATGTAATCCGTAAAACATACCAGCATTTAATATGGTCATTATTATGCTGCTTAAGCAAAGAAAAATGGATTTATGTATTTCACTTTTAGGGATCTTTTCTTTCATATTTTCCCATATTGAATCAATTTTCCTTTTCTTCTAACTCAAAAGAAATCCATTATATTAAAAATATGCAGTAAAATAATAATGTCCCAGAGCTCTTGAAAATCTTTATATTGGGGCAGATTTCTTTACTTTTTTCTGAAATTTAGCCAGCCTGGAGTGAAACCCATCAGCAGTCAGTCATCCTTTATCTCTCAACGACACCAAAAAACATCTCAGGACATGAAGTGAAGAATCGCGTATTCAACCGAACCGTTTAAGGATGCTTATAAGTAAAAGCCTATGTTTAGCACACAGCAGACTTGGAATAGAAGTTAGCCTCCTCGTCTTACAAAAAGTACATCATTGTAATTACACTCTATACTTATATAGTCTCTTCTACATTTTATAGACTTTCAAAAAATTATTTCCAATTTATATTGGAAAACTGTGGTTCCGGGAGATGAAGTTACTTGTGTGAGATCATGGCAGATATGTAACAGAGGTGGGAAAAAGGTGGGGGGGCGGGGAGGCTCTTGATTTTTGGTGCATTCATTCTCTTCTAAACAGTACAACTTTTCTGCCTTCATTAATATGCTTACTGGTTCCATATTTACTCTGACATAGAAAGCCACACAGCAGGTGTTAAAACACAATATGCTGAGTGTAAAAAATGTCAAACATTCAGATGAATACTGGCAAACATAGTCAATTATTTCAGTATTTTCAAATGTTCACATTTTTGGCAGTGTGAATTCGAAAAATTGAAAAGCACATTGCCTCCATCAGGAATGCAGCGTTACCTATATTCAGTAGCCACTTCAGCTACTAGATGGAGTATGCAGGGAGGAAGTCATGTTCTCAAGGGATTTACCCTTGACCTGGGAGACTTCTCGGATTGAATAGAGTAGCCATACACCCCTGGTAAAGGATAGTCGGCATGATTCCCTCTCCTCTGGGATGGAAGAAGTTGTCAGAAAACTAGTTCGGAGCAGGGGCTCCTAGCTGCTAGCGAGGGATGCTGACTCAACCTTTTAACTGGTTCTCTCTCTTAGAGTTTTAGCTGGTAGCCTCACAGACCACTGGCCCTGGGAAGTGGTGCTCTTTACGGAGCTCTTTCATTTATTTATTTCAAAAATATTTATCAAACACTTACTGTGTGCCAGGCACTGTTTTGGAAGCTGAGCATATGGTAGTGAACAAGACAGATGAATGCCCTTCCCTCATGTTGTTTCCGGTCTAGTATAATCTGGACTCTAAGGAGTGAGTCTCACAGCTTTGGGCTAGTGTGTCAAAAAGAGTAGCTAGATCATAAATATATGTACATTGAAATGAGGATCATTTGAGTACTGTGGGATGCTGTGGAAGTGGGTTCTGTAATTTAAGGAAAGCTTTAGGATTTTGAACTGAATAACAAAGTGCTAAAGAAGGAACAGACTTGAGAAACAGACTAAGAGAAAAGTAAGGATGAAAAAAATACTGACAAGTTTTTGTTTGGTTGTTTTCCTGGCTGGAGCAGAGGGTATAGTGGAGGAATGTTGGGGTAGGGTTCATGGGTGGGGGAAATTCAGCCCTAAAGTGTTGTTCTAGTGTGTGTTTTATCACACTATAAGAAATCTGCTTTAATGAGAGTATGTACAAATTGTACTGGGAGCATAGAATTAAATGCTTGGGTTTGCCTTATGGAAATCTTGACAAAGGAGGGAGTAGCACTAGGAGTAGAGGCAGGGTGAGTGGGATGATTGCCAGACAGGCAAGCGCACGTGGGTGGTGGTGTCAGAGAGTAGTGGGCTGCTCTAGCTAGAGCCACTGTTTAGTCACCACAAAGGCTTCTGGAAGCTTAATGAGGAAGAGATGGAAATCATCTGAATACAGGATCCTGGAAGTTAGTTGAGAGAAAAGATGTTATCAAGGGGCAGGGTCTTGGTAATGGATTAAGAGTAGTGTGTTTTACATATGACAGTGAAGGCTCTGCACCAACATTCCTTACCAGGCTCCATGTTAATCAGAGGCACCCATTTGCAAGTTAGCCCACCCTGGTTACAAGTGTGATCCCTAGCTTTGGAGTAGTGAAAATGTTTATTAGCCTCAAAGATGGATTATTCTGGATCCTTACTTGACTGAGTTAATCTGCTGCAGGTTAACTGTTGATGATTAAGGAGGCAAACGTGTCATTCCAAAATGGCAGGTGGGACAAGACAGAATAGAAGTTTGGCTAAGACTGTATTTTCTGTCTATACCACTCATTTTTCAGTCATCATTTTCAGCCTGTAACATGTCTTTATTCTGCACCTAGACTTTGAGCTTCTTGATGGCTTTGTATATCCCACTGTGTCCCACTGCAGACTGGGCATTCGGTAATTCTTTGCAGTGTGATTAAAAGCTGAATATGTAGTCCAAAGTAAGGAGGTGAACTGTAGTCCTGGGTACCACACCATATTTAGGCTTCCATATAGTCAGGAACTCTAAGATTTCACCTAAATGTCTTCTCCCATAGAGCTGACCAGACTTTCTTTCTTTCTTTTTTTTTTTTTTGGTGAGGAAGATCAGCTCTGAGCTAACATCCGTTACCAGTCTTCCTCTTTTTTTTGCTGAGGAAGATTAGCCATGAGCTAACAGCTGTGCCCATCTTCCTCTATTTTGTGTATGGGGTGCTGCCACAGCATGGCCCGACAAGCGGTGTGCAGGTCTGCGCCTGGGATTGGAACCCGAAAACCCTGGGCCTCAGTGGACTTAACCACTACACCACTGGGCCTGCCCCCAGACTTTCTTTTTCTAGCCTGTGATCTGGATGAGACCACACTTCAGGGTGCTTTGGGCTGCAGACAGGCGGTGCCTTAATATGTACTACGCAATCTGCAGATGGGGCATCAGCTTTCCTTCTGTGGCATAATTCCTACGGACAACCTAACATGGGGATTTAATAAAAATGTACATGTATTCTGTGAAGAATCCAACAACAAATGAAGGAAACTTTTGCCTGCCTTTGAAATGGGTGGACCCTGCAACATTGGTCTGTTTGAAGTGGCATCCTCACCCATATTCGGATGCTTCATTCCTGTCTGCCATTATTGGACCAGAGCACTAAGTCCCAATAAGACACACCATTTACAGTGAGAATATATTCTCAGTTTTTAAGCCTTTCTGATGTGCCATTGTTGCTGCTGTGTTTCCTGTTCTATGTAGGTGGTAGCCCTCGGAGAGGTACCAGATGGGACTGTGGTTACTGTCATGGCGGGTAACGATGAAAATTATTCTGCTGAGCTCCGAAATGCCTCTGCTGTTATGAAAAACCAAGTAGCAAGGTTCAACGATCTGAGATTTGTGGGCCGGAGTGGACGAGGTAGGTCTCTGATTTTTAATACAGTATTGATAATGAAATAAACACATTCGACTCCTCTGATGAAATGTAGGCTAGTCTGTATACAAATCAGCACCTTCTACTGAACAGAATTACTGGAGGTTTTATTTAAATATGTCCAGATGAAGTTGAGTGTTTTTCTGAGTGCTCAGGCCTTTTTCATTTGTTTTATGGTATTGAAAATTCAAACAATGTTTTCAGAAGAGCTGGTTCCTAATTTCACTAGTGTGAGCATATATGGTGGAGAGAAGAACAGTGGAGGTTCAAGTTCTGAATTATGAGGAGCCAAATAACTGAGTAAATTGAGTGGCAATGGGGAAAGAAAAAGGAATACATTGGATCAATTTCCTGATAATATCAATTTTGCTCTAAGTTGTAGCAAGGACAGCGGGCATAATGTTCTTCACTTGTCACATATGTTACCTCTATATGATTTAATTTACTCTTATAATAAGAATCTATTTAAAAATCCTAGGTTTTTATAGAAGGCTTTTCAGTTGAATAAGTGAATAATGTGTTACTTATGTTAGAATGACCATACAGAGTTGCCTGGACAGATGAATGATGAGGACTGTAAATATTTCCACATTATTTAAGTGTTTCCACCATCTGAATCCATATTCAAATCTTAGGAATCCTTAAAAAGATAATAAAATAGAAAATAATCACTTTTAGGGTTTTTGTAGTTGTTTCATAAATGGGGTTAATGTTTTAAAAAGAAGTCTCTAAGGAAACCAATATTTTGGCTTTTATTTACTTATTCTATAGAGAGACTTTTAATAGTCGTTCATTAGAATTATTATGTTTATTTATTTATTTATTGACTCTAATATTTCCATTTTAAGTATTTTGATAAGAAGAGAGAAAATAGACTACTTTAGGACTGAGGTAAAATAAATTATAAAGATCTACAGAATTAATGCAACTCAGGTTTGAATTAGGAAATGAGAAGCATCAATTTTTAAACCATGTCCAATAATTGTTCTTTAGTTTGGATCTGATGTCAAATTATTACCATTGTAAAAACTTGATAAGGGAAATTCAAGCAAGGCTGTTTCCGATGAGTAGTTTTAGTTTACTTTCTAGGAACAGGGCCAAGAAGTTGTACTTTTTAACTTAAAAAAAAAAAAAAATGTTGCATGCTAATGAGATACTGTCACTGAAAGGTTGTTTGAATAAAATGAGGCTCAGAGCCTCTAGTAGAATCAAAACTAAAGGGGTTATCTCTGCATCAGGTTTAGTTTACTTTCATTAAAAGAAAAAAAGACACATCCTATCTCGCTATTGACTGATTAGGTGTGAAGTGTGTATGTGTGTGTATTCATTCTTTTTTTTTGTTTTTTTCTCAGTTACTGGTGCAGGTCTGCAGTACAATTAAAGTTTCTCTTTTTTCTAGTAAGAATCAAGAAAAATTTGAACATGATGATTTACCTGTATGCTCCGAATGGCATCTTTCTTCTTATGTAATATTACTTTGTTTTTAATTAAAGTAATTTTAGTGTTTAAAAGATCGGGCACTATACTTTACAGATTCAAGCCAGCATGTTCATTTGTCTTGCTTTTGTATGATATAGATGCTGCATAAGTTTTCTCTGATCAATTTGAGTAGAAGCTATGGCAGAGTGATAGTGTACTTTGTAAACCCTCAACATATTTATTTAAGAAACTTCAAAGAGAAACAAAGGGTGTGCACTGTTTTACTATATTGGCTTTCTGAGTTTTGGCTGGTTTCCCAAATAGCAATTTTTATATTTAAAAAAAAAAGACAGACTTAACTGCTTGCAGACTTTTCACGCATGGAAGATGAAGAAAGCTTCTTTTGATGAAGTGTAATTATGTCCAAACAGAGCTGACCCCCTCCCCCTATATTTCTTATGATCTTAACTGAAGAAAGTAGGATTTTCCCTTTGAAGCAGCCGGGACTTGGTGGAGGATCTGAAATGCTACAGTCTGCTGCCAGAGGCAGGATGGAGAAATTGGTCCAGACTTGTCTTCGAGACTTAGATTGGGGGTGGGGGGAGCGAGTGGAGAGAGAAAGGAAAATTGATTTATCACTAATAATAGATTTTTATATCACTACATTTTCATTATATGAAACGAAACAGTAATATCAAACTGAAATGAAGAGAAAGGACAGAGAACACTGATAAGAGATATCACTCTTTGAAAAAAAAAAAGGGTCAGTTTTTCAGTGGTAGGAAACGCTTTAACTTGCCTGTGTACCTGACCTGCTTTCTAACAGACTCTTTCCAGCTTCCTCTGTGATTTTCACACTTCTACATTTCTCTTAAATCATGGAGTCCGGATTAACCCGCTAATACCCTTGTGTTTTTTCCCCAGCTATTTCAATTTTCTATTTTCAGTAGCATTCAAAGCTAAAAAACGCTAATTTCCTCAAATGTTATACCTTTTCTTTTCACTGGTAGGAATATAAACTCTCAGAAATTGAAAAACGGTTTTAGATTTATAAAGGAGTCACATCACTACTTACTTTGGCATTGTGAGTTACCTGATGACCACAACTTTTGGAAGTGCTCTGGAATAAAAGTAGAGCATCAATGAAACTTGCATTAAGTTAGGGGTGGCTTATGTTTTTTAATTGTCTTTTCCTTTTTTCTCCTTTATATTTTAAACAGAAGTGTTTAAAATGACTTTGGTCCTTAAGTTTTGTTCATGTGCTTCCTCACTTTTGACGTCGTGTGCTGCTTTTAATTTATAATCGTTTTTAAGCACCTACAGTATACAGAGCATGGTACTTTATCAATTTAGGATACAATTCCTGCTCACACTCTTATCCCTCCTGACTATTCCTGACAGCCCCTCAGGCTAGGTTGTAATTGTCTTTCAATGACAGCTTCTATATTTATCTCAGAAAATATATGACTTGAGGACATATTGCAGAACTAGTTCCTAAATGAAGCCAAGGATGATACAATTAGTTGTCGAATGAGTGCCAGCTCCCTAAGTAAGAGCATGCATTTTTAAGTAGAAACTTGCATTTTTATCACTTATGGAAAGTGATAAACAATGAGATTTGGAAATTTTTTTTTAATTTAAGGAAATCATGAATTTTCACATAAGCATTTGACTTAGCAAATATATTATTATTTATAAGGTGAAGAACCAGTTACTTGGGTGGTAGTTTCTGGAAGTTTCTTGAACATTATGTTCATGTTCCTTCTGAAGGGTCAATAAGAACTGGAAGGACCCTCCTTGATTTTTGTTTTAGTTGTTAAAGTACATCTTGATCCTTAGGATTTGATTTTAGAAGACTGTAGTCATACTTAAATACTTGTTTCCTCCCCACAAAATCCACCTTTTTTTTTTTTTTTTTTGTGAGGAGATCAGCCCTGTGCTAACATCTGCCAATCCTCCTCTTTTTTTGCTGAGGAAGACTGGCTCTGGGCTAACATCCGTGCCCATCTTCCTCCACTTTATATGGGACGCCCCCACAGCATGGCTTGCCAAGCAGTGCGTCGGTGCGTGCCTGGGATCCGAACCGGCGAGCCCCAGGCCGCCGCATTGGAGTGCGCACACTTAACTGCTTGCGCCACCAGTCTGGCCCAAAAACCCACCTTTTTTTAGAAGACTTTATAGAAAACTGGTTCCACTTTGACTATTTAGATACTTTATGCTTATAAGGTGAATTTTATATTTGGCTTTTGTTCCTACACAAAGTGTTTCTCTGAATTTGGGAGAAGCATCGATGACTTTCAATATCCTAAGTAAGTTGTAAAAGTCTCAAATAGAAATATTGTCGGAACCAGTTTAGAGAAATTCATGGACAGTATCTCTAGCAGGTCATTTAGAGTCATTAAGGACAACTGAGATATATATACATCCTTGATTTATTAAGATTAAAGCCATGGATGATAACTGCCTTCCAAGCACTGCCCTTGGAGCCAATGTTAGAAATGCAGTCCTGGCTCATGGACCATTGATCCAGCCCAGAATGGCATCTTTTTAATGGTTTAATGTAAATTAACTTTTAATCCAGAGATTCATCTCGTTCACTCCTCCAGACCTTCCATTGTTTTGAGGTCCTGATCTGGATCCAGTGACTTCCTATTCAACTTTCTAATCTTCATTTCTGTGGACTTTCAGTTTTCTGTAACTAGTTTAGACTCCTGGTTGCCTTATTCTTCTGGTTAGTCTTAATGTTTATAATAAATTCTCTATTCCCTAACCAGACAATTAAATTACTTAAATCCATGTAACATTCAATATATAGTGGATGAAATATGATATATCAATAACACTTTAAGAATAGATGCTTTCATCATCCTGGCCGAGATACTGTATTAGTATATTTATATTTACTGTTTCTTGATCTTATAGAGCTGATTGGGACACATGTTGAAATAAATTACCTATTAATATTTTTAAATGTTCTCTGACAAAGTTAAAAAGAAGAGCATTAATTTTAGGGTCTGGAAGACCTGACTGAGTTCAGATCCTGATTTTTTTCCACTTATTAGTTGTGTGGTTAAGTTACTAAGCCTCTCTGGGCTTCAGTTTCCTCATTTGTAGGATGGGTGTGATAAACCTAACTGGATAGGATTAAATGAGATAATGTGTATAAATTGGCTGGCATTTTAATAGGTTTCTAATCAATATTCATCTTTCCCTGTCCCCCCACCCCCTTCCTGTCTTTTCTTTCCTTTTTTTTCTCTTGGCCATGGAAAAGTATAGCCAGAAAGACTTAAAAATATATATACTGAATAACAAATGATGTGTGTCTTAAACATATTTTAAGAACTTACATGGTCTGAGTTGAAAGAAAACCCATTCACTAGACTTGACAGCCAAAGACCTGTTCCACATTAAGCCTTGTATATAACCTGTTCCATATTAAGCTTTGAAAAGATTGCATTAAACTTTGCATTGCTACACATTGTTTAAGATTTGTTTTTTGATTTAATAGCCTCAGCTTTCAGTAAAGGGAAAAACAGTCTCTGACCAAAAAACAAAGCAAAACAAAATGAGCTTTTTAAAGGTCTGTTACAGGAGCAGGCCAAATGAATACCCTGGCCTGGGATTGCTGAATGTTTTATTGAGTCACTGTTTCACACCCACCTTTTCCTGTCTTGTAACAGTTTGCAGTTCTGACTATCTGACATGACTAACCGTTGCAAATCTAACTGATTACAACTGTCAGTGAGCCTGTGTAACAGAGTCTGGTATCTTCTCCTGGAGAAAGCAGACGTCCTAATCTGCTACCAAACTTTCCCTGTCTTTTCCCCCCTTTATTCATTACCTTTAGCTCCTTAATTTGAAAGATCAGATGTAATATTTTGATGAAGCACACCCTCTCCTAAAAGCAAAAATCCATATTTATATTGGGAGATGTCATGTACATTTAGGAAAAAATAAGTCACCGTCAGGGAGTTATTTCAAGATTTAACAGCAAAGATGTATGTTAGTGAAAGGCGGGTGGGCAGGGAGGAGAAAAACTTTGTTCCAGTAATGATGAAATCATCATACCACAGGCACATTAAGGCCAGGACAGGAGACACTGGCTCCTGTTAAAATGATTCCCATAAGAACCTTCCTCTTTCATCTTCTTATTGTAGTGCAGTTAAGAAATGAAATGCTAAAGCCATGGTGAAATAAATAACATAATCAACAGTGATTTACTATTGTTCTTTCATGGGGTCATGACCTAATCCTAAATAAAGACTTCTAAAATTGTCTGCGCTTGGATGTGTTCCTGATGTTGGAGAAAACTGAAAGGAAGAGAACCCTCCTCAAGTGGACCCAAGTTTTTGTTTTTAGTACAACTGTTGCTACTGAGCTGCTTTGTATTTGGAGTTGGAGCCTTGTGTAGCACTGCAATGAAGATGACGATCTTAACACTCAACGAGTTTAGTAACTTCCTGAAGTGGCCATCAGAGGGTTTCTCATTTAGAATAAGGGGTCCTGACTCTTGGCTTTGTCTCATCCCCTCCTCAGAGATGCTAAAATGCAATGTGGACATCGATGCTGCTATATTATCATCAATACTATCTTTTTATATTCACTGTGGATTTTCCCCTTTTACATCTGCAGGCAAGAGTTTCACCTTGACCATAACTGTCTTCACAAATCCTCCCCAAGTAGCCACCTATCACAGAGCTATTAAAGTTACAGTGGATGGACCCCGGGAACCCAGAAGTAAGTACTTGCCTTCCTATCGGAAATGGTAACAGAGTTGGTGGAGACCCTCTGAGGAACTGATTCCAAATAAGTTAAGACTACTTTCATGTCAATAGCTTCTTTACAAAGTTTGCTATCTGCTTGTTTTTATGACAGACGTTCAGTACAACTTCAGAGTTAGTAGAAAGTCAAATTACACTTTTAACCTTTGCCACAAAACTGCTAAGGCCTACATAACTTTGGGAAATGAGTGCATAATTATTCAGTCACTGTAACTGTTTCCTAAGAAATTCTGCTCATCCACTGTACACAATAGACAGGGCAGAATAGACCCATGAGAGCTGAGGAAGAAAAGACTTGACTGAAAAATCTTGAGCTTAGTCAAAAAGCATTTGCGTATGTTTCCCATGGTCTAAGAATGTGTTTTAACTTTTTAACTCGCCCACTCAGTTCCCTTTATAAAGAGCACACTGCTTAATTACAAAGAATTTATTTGCAAATGATAACTTGCTTGATTGTTACAACACCGCTGTTTGGTCATGTTCGAGTAATTGTTATAGATAGTTTCTTTCAACAGATAGAGTCAAACCAGGTTTAAATCCACCTTGGTTTATTTGTCTGTCTGGACATCCAGAAGGTTTAACCAGCATCAGTTTTAAGGTAGTACACATAATCCATTTGGGCTAATATGCATTTTCCTCCTAAATCTAAATTGAAACAGGTTTGCTTTCTCCCTCAACACTGATTTGAACAAACTTGGCATAGCAGTATTTAAGTGTATTTAGAGATTAAACATTATTTGATATATACAACATTAAAAATTCTGTGCCCATGGAAACATCATACAGAACTTCTGCCTTTGATGAGTGAATACACTGGAGTCCTAACCATTGTGCTGAGAGAGTTTAATTTGGTTTCTGGTAGAGGTACAGCTGGCAGAAATATTTGTTATATGGCAATACACCTGCCTAGGCAGTGAGAGTGGCATGTCTTTTCTTCCCCTAAAACTGAGAGAAAAGGGCTGGTAAAGTTTTGCTTCTCCGCAAGTAGCACATCTTTGAGCAGTGGGAACATACGGTGCCTTCCGTTCCTCTTGCGGCTGTCTCTTTTCACAAAGGCTGATTACTTGCCTGAACTAGGGAGGTTTCCTGTCTCAAAAGCCAGTCTTGGAGGTTTTTCTGTTCTCCTCCTTTCATGTGTTTGGCGTTCTTCTAGGTTCACAGCGTTGGGTCAGTGCTGTCCCTGTCTGTTCAGTTTGAGAATATCGTGTTAGGCGGTTGCCATACACAGGTCTTGGGTTGCCCCAAGTCTCTGGTCATAAGGGCCAGAGGTTAGCGGTGCAGGTGAATAGAACAGAGCAGGGCTGTCTTGCCTGGTTTGGGGCTTTGCCTGACTTTTCTGGACTGCTATAAATCGGAGACGATGCCTTGTGATGGAAGACACCTTGTAACATTTTATCTAATTAACGCTTGAGTTCCTGAAAAGGCAGGGTAGTAGTCTTTTAACATTTAACACTACTAATACTTCTCTTTTAAAGATGTTTCCCGCTGATCTCAGCTGCTTTTCTCAGTTCTTGGAAAAATCATTATTGTGTGTGTGTATGTCTGTGTGTCTGGGTGTGTGTATGTGTCCATCCACTCAAAAGTTGATGGTTGGGAGAGGAAACAGGGAAGTATGGGTGCTGCCCCATTCTGAAAGATTTGACAAAAGGTGAGGAGGCAGGGTACCTTTGGGAAAGTCACTTCTCTTTCAAGAGAGGATAGCATTATCTGATTCCCAAGAGGTTGTTGGCAGAATTAATTTGTTGATAGGCGCAGTGCCCTAAAGGCCGAGAAGGACTTTGAAAGCAATGAGGGCTAGGGGTAGAGAGGGCAGATGGTATACATGTGACCTGAGTTCAGGCTTTGGGTGCTGCTGAGGGTGCTGAGGATGCGACGGGGGAAGCAGATACAGATCTTGAGTGGCAGACCACTGCCCTGGATCAGCCTGAGTAACATCTCTTGTGAAGCAAAAATATCTGTGAAAATGTGATGTCATTTCTCTGACATCATGAAGTGACTTGCCAAATTCAGTGTCTGGATATACAGATGGGTCTGGTATCAGTAACATCTTAATCCTACAACCTGCACTCTCTGTCCTGGATTATTTCCTTCTGCCCTGCTTTTGGCCATCCCGGGCATTGAATGTTTGTAGGATAGCGCTCTTCTCATATTATTATTTAATTTTGAGACCCCTACATTGGAAAATGCCCAGGATTTTCAGTTTTCTTCAACTGTGTGAGTATAATAGGATTTTGAATGATTGGTGTATAGATAATGTTAAATGGAGAATCCTCTAGAACATGGCTTGGCAAACTTTTTCTATGAAGTGCCAGAGAGTAAATAATTTCAGCTCTATAGGCTATATGATCTCCTTCACAAGTACTTAACTCTGCTATTGTAGCTCAAAAGCAGCCCTAGCCAGTATATAAATGAATGGTTGTGGTTGTGTTTCAATAAAACTTTATTTACAAAAACAGGTGGTGGGTCAGATTTGGCACACAAGCTGTAGTTTGCCAACTCTTGCTCTGGATTTCAAAGTGGCTTACTTTATTGACTGTTAGCAGAGAAGGGCTTTAGAAAAAGGCTTTCTTGAGGGGCGAAAAAGAAGACAATTAATGTATTTCTTTTAGCCTCCTCTCTCACCAAATTATAATTCTTTAAGTGGTGGTTGTCATAGAAATAGTATACATCTGATTATTACTGTAATGATTTGAAGGAGTTGACGATTTTGCACTACTGATTCCTCTTAATGGAATTTCACTCCTTCTTCTGAACATCAGAGTATATATTGAAAAGGCTACTTCTAGTGAATGAGCTAGTGGAACAAGGACAAGTTCTGGGTTAACTAGTTGAGTCTTTATTCAGTATACCATGGTGATTAAGGGTGTGGGCTTTAGTGACAGACTGTCTGGATTGAAATCCCAGCTCCACCATTTACTAGTTGTGTGGTGGTGGGCAAGTTACCCGACTTCTCTTTGCTTCGGTTTCCTCATCTGCTAAAGTGCGAATAATAATAATAGTATCTTCCTCATCAGTTGCTGCAAAGATGTTAAATGATGTAATGTATGTAAAATGCATGGCACAGTTACTGTCATGTAGTAAGTGCTCATTAAGTGTTAGCTGTCATTACATCAATTTCCTCCAGTGTCAGAAGTTTGCTGTAGAGTTTTGCTTATAGTAGGCTTCCAGGAAATGGATACTATCTAGATTCTGTTCTCTAGTGTATTACTTTTTTTTCTTGCTGATGGCTTTACTAATTTCTACTCATGAGTAAATGACACTAATAAGTGTTATAAAGTGTGCCTTGAGCAGGTACTCATGCTGCCTGAGGAAAGCTGTGCAGAACTGATGATAAACACAATTTGTTTGCAGCAAAGTCCAAGAGAGGATGCGATGGCACCCGTGTCCTCCTCTGAGGCTCTGCTGATCAACACATCTGCCAAGACTTGCTTTTCACTCAGAAATCAGAAAGAGTTCGTCCTTCTATGTTTTCTGTCTCTGGCAGCTGAACCGGTGCTGTCACTTCACAAACAACTTCTTTTCTTAATATACACATCTGGCGTTGGCAGTTGGACTAACTTCATAAGAGCACATGATCATCACTCATTACAAGATTAAAAAGTACCCCATGGCATCATTGATGTTTTTTAACTTTGATCTTCTGCAGTTGTGATTCATCTCAGTTATAAAACTTCCCTTTAAAGGAACATAGCCGATGACTTATTAGAACCTTCATCTTAAGTAGCATAAACATGAAAATGGTGCACATCTTTACAAAATGCCATTTATTTTCTTTGCCAGCTTATCATTTTAAGACATGACATCATACTTAAGATCCCAAATTTGTAAGTCTTGTGTTTAGGCAAGGCGTTTTGACCTTCTGTTGGTAAGTTAGCTCTGAAGAGTAACTGCTGTGTGCTCGCCAGCAGGAGAAGTCAGTGTAGCAGCAGCAGCAACAGTAATGCATTTGGATACCTGGATATCTTTTAAACATCAGTTTCTATTAGGATCCTTTGTTCCCTTTATGCACTTGGTTCCACCTGCAGTCTGATTTGAAGAACTTCTACCGGAAGGTGAAAACTTGGTTAGCAACATCATATTCTACAGTAGTGGTTCTGAGTTAGGGAGGAGGATGAATGGAAAAGATGTTTTTGGCTTTCCGGAGGATGGAAAAAGGAAATCACCTTACACAGCTAGAATCCTTTTAATTCTCTTGCTGCCTTTTCTGTCGTCTATTGCTAAATAACAAACCATCCCCAAACATAATGGTTTAAAACTACAACCAGTTTGTTATTACTCATGATTCTGTGTGTTGACTGGAGTTCATCTGGGTGGATTTTCTGTGGTCTTGCTTGGGGTCTTTCACGTGGCTGCAGTGAGATGGTGGCTGGTGCTGGAACATCCATGATGGCTCCATTCATATGTCTGGTGCCTTGGCCGGATGACTGGAGGTTTGGGCTTGGCTGGAATGATGGCGCAGTGAGGCCTTTCTCTCTCTCCATGTTGTCCTAGAACCTCTCCCTCTCCACGTGGCCTCTCCATGTGGTCTCTCCATGAAGTCTGTCTGGCAGAGTCTGACTTCTTACATGGCAGCACAGGGCTCCCTACCATGCAAAAATGGGCACTTTCAGGCCTTCTTAATGCTTCTTAAGGCTCAGAACCGGCATGGAGTTACTTCCGCCACGTTCTATTGGTTAAAGCAAGCTACAGGTGCAGCCTAGATTCAAGGAGAAGAAACCCCATAAAGATATGATTGATGGGGACAGTCGTTCATTGGACCACCAACATCTTCAACTTCCAGAGGTGCTTAGATGGTAAATGTCATTGTTGCAACAGGAGAAATAGTTTTTTCGAGGTATTATCTTCTGAAAGGTTTCTTGATTTTTTAATCTGGGGGACATTTAAAGTTCTACAAGGTGGACTCCAAGTGTCGCTTATTGTAGCTTCATTCTGAATTGAACAAATTTGGTAATTATC